ATAGAGCACCGTCTCAGGCTTTGGTATGCAGATCCAGTACGTGCAAGTTGGTTGATAGCTTATCGGGACCAAGTCGAATCACAAGAAGGTGTTACCTCAGACTTTTGGACTGGTGATCTTTATCGAGACATGAAGGCTAAACGCCTATTCCAGCAGAAAACGGATCTGGGATTCGTATTAACTACCGATGGGGTTCAGATATTCCAGTCAAGGGCGAAATTCTCTATTTGGCCGATTGCTCTTTTGTGCCTCAATCTTCCACCCACCGTTCGAGCGAAACGACAAAACATGCTTTGCACAGGGTTCATACCAGGTCCCAAAACACCAAGGGATATTGACTCTTTCTTGTACCCACTGGTCAAAGAGCTTGAAGCACTTGAGCGGGGGATACGCGGGGTTTTGAATGCGTCGATACCATCATGGATGCCTGAAAAACACTTCACTCTTCATGGATATCTATGCCTGGTTGCCGCAGACATGATTGCACGTGAAAAACTCATGAAAGTAACGGGGAATCGCTCATATTGCTATTGCGAGTATTGTATGGTCAGGGGTGTATGGAACGGGTCCCTGTATTGCCCAATGACTCCACCGACAGACACCCCACAGAAGGCTAGAATACGCAAGGGCTCGGGTTACCCCTGGAAAACGTGGGACCGTACAAGCCTCCCAATGCGAATAGACGAGGAATTTCGTCTGGTTGCTCAACAAATCGCGAGAAGGGGTGCAACGGCGCAGCAAAAGGCTAAATATGGTATCAAAGGTCTGTCGATTCTAAGCCGCTTGACTGCAGTTGATTTTCCACGAAGCTTCCCACCAGATAGCATGCATTTGTGGTTCGAGAACATCATTCCAGATCTCGTCAAGCACTGGAGAGGAAAATTTGTATGTGATGTCGGTGAAAGTGAGCCGGCTGGACCCCGGCGGCGAGGTGCGGGAAATCAAGCGCAGAGAGACAGGGGGGAGTTCAGTGACGAACCGGAGGAGGAATCTGCAGATCCGGAAGAGGATTCAGAAGAGGAATTGAGGCAGGATTCGGATGTTGAGGAAGAGGAAGATGTTGACATGATCGATCGCGGTCGCGAGGAGGGGAGCCCAGGCGGATCTGATGCTGACAGCGAGCTGAGTGAAAACGAACTCGACAGCGTAAAAGAAGGGGGTTCTCCAGCCACTGCAAGGAGTGGGAGACAAACGGTAATATATACAACAATCTTACATGAATTATATTCAAGAATGAATCATTTACTAATCATGATGTGTATTTATATACAGGTTCGAGCTCGGCGAAATAGAGTGACACCAGCAGGTCGTGGCCCTGGTATAACAAGACGGGCGAGGGCACCGATAGAACAGACTATATCTAGGGGGTCTAGACCAAATCCAGCACAGGCAAGATCGAGAGGCCGGGATTCAACAGCAAAGGTTATCCCAAACGACGACCCATACAACATACCAGTCAAGATATGGGAGCGGATAAGCACCGATATTGCATCGAGTTCATCTACGTTTCCACAGCTGTTTGGTCCGCTGCTCAGAAACTTTCTAGAATACATCAATATGATGACTGCGGCGGAGTGGAAGCTGTTTGCGTTCATCATAGGTCCGGTATACATGAAGGGGGTCCTTCCAGAAGAGGATTACGTTGAATTCGTCAACCTAATAGAGGCTGTTCAACTAACATGCGATCACTCCATCCTCGACGACGACCTGACCCAATTGGAGGTCAGCATCCAGAGGTTCAGCGACTATTACGAAAGACGATACTATCGTATGAAGTGGACACGGCTCAAGGCCTGCCTACCTGTTTTTCACCAAATAATTCATGTCCCCCAAGCCATTCGATGGGCAGGCCCCATGTATTCATACTCGCAATGGGCGATGGAGCGTTTCTGCGGGACATTGTCTAGAACGGCAAAGTCTAGGGTTTCGACGAATAAAAATATCTCCAACACGATCACCATGTTGGAACAAAAGAACTGTCTCGTATACGTTATAGACCAAGAAGGAATAACGGTGGAGAGTAGCGATGAAGACTCAGATGGTAATATCCTACTGGCGAAGTTCTTGTCGAAACGGATAAAAAATTCCAGGCCGCCGGAAGCCAAAATGATATCGGATATGCGTGAGAGAGATACGATAACATTCTGTGGTCCATCAAAGGTAAAGCCCTTGACGCCATATGAAAGGATATGTCTTCGTAACTTCCTGGGAAACGAAGATTTTGATGTGGATCTTGCAATCGATGATGCTGAGGATTCTCAGTTAGATGCCACAGCAGACGGTTATGAGATTCCGTTACATTGTCGTGTATTCCGAGCTGTAGATTTTAAAACTACAGTACAACGTGGTGACCCATACCCATTTAAAGCGACTTCTTCAACAAGACAGAGATCAAACCTTACTCGGTCAACATCATTCGTAAGCTTTAAACTGGCACGAGCTCTACCGGATCGAAATGGGAACCTCCGGGGTGGGGAAAGAGAAACTTTGACTGAATACGGTGAGGTCCTATTCTTTTTTACTGTGGATATTCCAAATCCAGAGGAGAATGCCTTCATCCGGCGCCATCTGCAAGTAACGAGAAGACTCACTCTACGGAATACAGCAGCCACGGGTGCGGAGCCAGTTGACGAGCAGATTCAGTTAAAAGAAAAAGGGGCTATCAGGAAGAAAAAGGATTGCGAACTTCTTCTCGCATGTGTGAGGCATTTCCCGGTACATAAGGATGGTAGGCTGCGATACCGCGGAGGGAAAGGGATAATAAGAATAATTCGAGCAGCTGATATCCGCGAGCTAATAGGGATACTAAACTGCAAAGGTAGAGAGTATATAGTTAGAAGATATACGGCGCTCTTCGAATAGGTCATGATCAATTACAATTGAACCAATTGGTGTTATAATTAATAGAATCGTGGATTAAGCAGCCTAACTGTTTGAGTTAAGCAGTTTACTGTTTAATTTGTTGGCGGTAACTGTTTAAATGAACCGACTACACATGGAATTAAGCAGTTTTACTGTTTAATTGACGTAACATTAGCTAAACTGTTTATAGCCAATGCGCGAGAATAAACAGTTTTACTGTTTACCAATGAGTAAACAGTAAAACTGCTTAACAAATTGAACAGTAAAACTGTTTACTGATAGGTAAACAGTAAAACTGCTTAACGAATTGAACAGTAAAACTGTTTACTCATAGGTAAACAGTAAAACTGCTTAACGAATTGAACAGTGAAACTGTTTAAACCATGACTAAACAGTTTTGTTGTTTAATCAAAGGTCACGTCTAGATGCGGCGGAAAGCTTTAAACAGTTAAACTGTTTATACTAGGTATTAAACGATCTGGCTGTTGAAAGCGACATGGGTTTAAACAGTTCAACTGTTTAAACCCGGCACTTAACCAATTTCTGGGCAGAATGCCAAATTCTAAACAGTTTTATTGTTTAAAATTTGGATTTAAACAGTTTTTAAGCGACTTAAGCAGTAAGACTGCTTAAGTTAAACAGTTGCCACCGGACTTATGTACCATAGTGACATTTAAGGTCGTTTCAGCCGGAAACGACCTGTGAGCACACCGTCTCGAGATTTTTGCAAGATCGACTGATCGGCCCTTGTATATTCTTAGTTACAAAGCATGAACCGCATTATCACAAGGCGAGGCCGGAGTACATAATGCATTAACCTCTACCCTTGTACTGTAAGTATCCATCACTATCCAGAAGTCCCACATGTGTACACAACAACAGCACCACTGCTAATTCCACCCCTCATATCATGTTTTCCCATTCCATCACTGACGACTCCCTACAACCATATACCCTTCCCACTCCACAACGTACCCCAGCACCCCGCTGATGGCTCTGTTATTGCATCATAGGTTCTCACTCGCCTCTTTCATTTCTCTCCCTTCTAGGGATACCACAACAAAAAGTGACGACCGACCAACCAGAGACCTCCTCCCCCAGCCCCGCGGTACTATAGCGGGTGTAATTCTTACCAGCTCTGTGAGTATAACATGACCATCGACCAGGTTCGCGGGCGGGTGGGCATATTTCAGGTTACGTACTCTACATACGTCCAAATCATCGCCCCTTCCTCTTCCGTCCCTAGAACAAGGAATTGACAGAAGAATTTCTCTGGGTAGGCGCGCACATTGGACAGGAATCCAAAACTAAATGTTCGAGAAATCATTACCCGTCCAAAACCTAACCCATGCCAAGCCCCGCCTCGCCTGTACCACCAGACAACCCCAGTCTTCTTCTTCTTTTTTTTTTTTGTTCAATTCATTAATAGCCCACCCGGTCAGATGGTATGTTTTTTATGTGTGTAATGATGTGGATGAATATATATATCGTAACTGTTGGCAGACTGTAAGTTTAATTGTCATATACTATATACGGTCTGCATACAATTAATGAATTAAACAGAAAAAAAAAAAAAAAGACCGCAGGTTTACATACTCTGACGTTATCCCGTACGCATAGCTCACTGACCTACTTATATATTTCCTCATAGTGTGGTCCACCAGGCATCGACGCTCGAGGACTTGCCTCCAGGCCTCTGCCTCGAGGGAGCTCAAGGCATGGGGGTCGACAAGGCGAGCATGCTCGAGCTGCTTGAGGTTTAGGTAATCATAGTATTAGTGGCATATATTCAGTAGGGTTGATGTTTCTGATAGGAACATTGGAAGCATTCCCTACATTTGCGTTCCAGTATTACAATAAAATACGACTTTGACAGATCTAAATAGAGTAATCATCTACCTCGAGGCATCCCCCATTTTTTCACGAGCAAGCAAAGGCATAGACCACACGAGGCAGAGGCACCTCGAGCACTTGTCACTGCTCGCCTCGAGCAGCCTCGTGGACCACACTATTTCCTCACTTCCCGCCGACACTGTGCTACAATGAAATCATCTCCAACATTCCCCTCACCCCCACACCCACAAGCACCCAAACTAACCCCCGCAGACACCTATCTGAACGTCGACAGAAGTGAACCATCAGGCTTGGCGGTACCGGTGCCTTTGTTATGAATACCATCAAACAGGTCAGCTACCCACGTCAGGTCAGACTAATTGCGAAGAACTTGGTAAGAATACATACCGACTCACACAATTCTGCTTCTTGAGTAACGGGGGCACAGCATCCATGCCCTTCTCCTCCGCCTCTTTACCCGTATGCTTCCTTTTCATATCTTTACCATGTAAAACATTTTCCGAATACACGGAAGCAGTAGTGACTCCGGCAGCAGTGGCGGCTACCAGTGTAATGGCAGCAGCGAGGCTGGCAGAGGCAGCGGCGATGGTAACGGAGGCAGCGGTGAGGGCAGCTAAGACCGCAGCCAGGGGTCCCCCTAAAAGCACCAACCCCTCCTTCCCCGCTGGAACCTGGAACGCAGACGTCTTTCTCTTCTTCCCCTTGTGGTGGTCATTGTCCAATCAAGCCGCAGCCCGATCCTCCGCCTCCTGTCCTGCAATGTTAGCAAACACCCACCCACCTGGCCAAGACTGGTGTGCGAGGACATACCAGTTCTCGAAGGATAGCATCTCGATCTACATTGGATTTCTTCTTTGCGATGGAGGCTTAGGCCCTTTTTGAGTCGTGCGGCGGCGGATGTAAGGTGTGTGTTCGCGTTGATGGTGACGATGGTAATGGGGGTGATATAGAGCAGAGACAGAGGTGAAAGCCATCAGCGAGGGAAGATGGTGTTGTGTAGTTAGCGCCAAGGCGTGTTTTACATATGCACCCTCCCCCCGCAAGATCCCGTTACACGCAAGTTTGTTTGCTGATGGTGCGGGGGTTGCGTACATGCTACCAGACGCCATCACGGGACACCACAGCACCGACGTGCGGAATGGACATGAAAGTTGCGCTCCAAAGGGACGGGCAGACATGGCTCGATATCACTCGGATCACATCCCATCACTCGTGTCGCGGATCATAGTTTATCACTCGCTACTGCACTCCCGAGGGTACATACATGTACCTGTAATACGACTTCCCGCGCCAAGTATCGGAGCCGTGGCCGTCAACGAATGGATTCTATTTCCTACCGTAACCCTTGGCACTGATTGTAAGACTGGATAATTCAACTCTGCACCCAATAGTTGGCGTTATTACTACTAATCTAAGCACGATGTTCGCTGTGGTTTGCGATTCCACGCGTTGAAGCTCGACAGCGTTAGAAACGGGAGGATAATTAATCCAGTATTACTTACTCCAATCCAGATCAAACCTGCTGCACTGCATGCAGCAAATATGGCCATTGCAACAAACTAACCACATATTTCGTGCTTCAACTTGATTCCCAAGGCTTGATGCAACAAAGAATAGGTAACATAAACTCATCCCTCATGTATATTTCCAATCCCAAAAATTTACACCGTCGATTGATACTAATTATAATAGAAAACAAGAAAACCATTCATACAAGCATACGTAAGTAGTCCCAAACTATATGAAAAATAGCTAATAAAAATAATGATTTAACTCAAGACCTCAACGCCTCTCGTATCATCTCCGCCACCGCCTCGTGCCCAGCTTCTTCCGCAGCCTCAAGGGCACTCCCAAAAGAGTACTCATCATCATCGTCATCATCATCATCATCATCTTCATCATCATCATCATCATCCTCATCATCATCATCCTCATCATCATCATCATCATCCATACCCCCGACACGGAATCCCATACTTGCATCTGCACCTGCAGCCAACAGAAGTTCCACAGCCTTCTCATTCCCTCTCCAAGCCGCTGCCTGTAGCGCGTTTCCATACTTGCCCCCCTGTACATTAACGTCTGCTCCTCTGTCCAAGAGAAGCTTTACGAAATTCTCGCCGTTCATTCTCTGTGCTGCCGCTTGCAGAGCAGTCTCATAGAGCCCACCTCGGATGTTAACGTCGGCACTTTTATCGAGTAGTAATACGAGTGAGTGTCCCCCCGCTTGTGCGGCTGCCTGAAGAGCGGTACCGTATCTCCCGCCCTGGATATTGACCTCAGCGCCTCGAGCTAGCAGTAACTCCAAAGCTTTCTTTCCGGAATCTGTCGATGCGGCAGCCTGGAGGGCAGAACCGTAGTAGCCACCCTGGGCATTGATGTCTGCTCCTGCATTCAGGAGTAGTTCAACCACTGCCATGTGACCTCCGAATGCTGCTACCTGGAGGGCATTACAAAGCTTGCCGCCTTGAGCATTAACATCGGCGCCTTTCTTCAAGAGTAGTTCGACTGCGTTCTCCATTCCAAACTTTGAAGCGGTGTAGAGAGCGTTCCCGCAAAAATCACCGGGGACATTGACATCTGCGCCTTCCTCTAGCAACCTTATCAGAATTTCTTCGTTCTTCCTGTATGCTGCGGCCATGAGCGCGGTCTCGAACTGGCCACCGCGAGCATTGACATCGGCTCCCCTATCCAATAAGAGTTTGACCACCTCCTCGCTCTCGCTCTTGACCGCTGCTTGTAGTGCATTCCCATACGGGCCACCGGCAGCATTAACGTCCGCTCCCCGCTCCATCAGCATCCTGACGATTTCCTTGTTGGCTCCATACACTGGCGTGGCTGCTGCCTGTAGCGCGGTCCCGTAATAGCCGCCTTCACCATTGATATTTGCACCATTTTCGAGGAGAAGTTGCACCACCTTCACATGACCTCTAGATGCCGCAGCCTGAAGGGCATTGCCGCATAAGCCACCGGCAACATTAACGTCCGCACCCCGCTCTAAAAGCATCCTGACCATTTCCTCGTTGTTTTCGGATGCTGTGGCTGCTGCATATAGCGCGGTCCCGTATTCGCCGCCTTCGGCATTGATATTTGCACCATTTTCGAGGAGAAGTTCCACCACCTTCACATGACCTCTAGATGCCGCGGCCTGAAGGGCATTGCCGTATACGCCACCGGCAACATTAACGTCCGCACCCCGCTCTAAAAGCATCCTGACGATTCTCTCATTGTCTCTGAATCCTGTGGCTGCCGCCTGTAGCGCGGTCCCGTATTCGCCGCCTTCAGCATTGATATTTGCACCGTTTTCGAGGAGAAGTTCCACCACCTTCACATGACCTCTATATGCCGCAGCCTGAAGGGCATTGCCGTATTCGCCACCGGCAACATTAACGTCCGCTCCCCGCTCTAAAAGCATCCTGACGATTCCCTCATTGTCTCCGGATGCTGTGGCTGCTGCCTGTAGCGCGGTCCCGTATTTGCCGCCTTCAGCATTGATATTTGCACCGTTTTCGAGGAGAAGTTGCACCACCTTCACATGACCTCTATATGCCGCAGCCTGAAGGGCATTGCCGTATAAGCCACCGGCAACATTAACGTCCGCACCCCGCTCTAAGAGCATCCTGACCATTTCCTCGTTGTTTTCGGATGCTGTGGCTGCTGCCTGTAGCGCGGTCCCGTATTCGCCGCCTTCGGCATTGATATTTGCACCTCTACTGAGCAGCAGCTCCAGCATCTCCTTGCCCCCCGACCCATTGGCGGCGGCCTGGAGCACGGTCCCATACTTTCCGCTCTGTCCATTTACATCCGCTCCGCTGTCCAGGAGCAACTCCGCGACCCTTTTTCTCCCCCAATACGCCACGCTGTGGAGTGCAGAGCCCCATTCGCTGTCACCGCCCTGACCATCGATCCGCGCTCCGCTTTCTAATAATAGCCTCACAACCTTCTCACAATCATGCGAACCCCTTACCGCTGCACAGAGAGCATCACCGTCAGAGCCGCCCTTCTGATTAACATCTGCACCTCTATCTAGCAGCACCCGCACCATCTTCTCCGCAGACTCTGCCGTTACTGCGCTTTGCAGAACAGTCGTGTTACAGTAGCCACCTCGGCTGTTAATATCAGCCCCTCTGTCTAAAAGTAGCTTGACAAGCGGCACATCCCCCACGTTGGCAGCTGCATGCAGTGTACTCCCGTAAATCCTACTACGCAGATTTGGGTCTGCGCCATTATCCAGTAGGAGCTGTGTCATCTCTGTTTGCCTACTATATGCTGCGATCTGCAAAGCGTTTGCATGTAAGCCATCTTGGATGTTGACGTCTGCGCCTCTGTTTATCAATAACTTTACAATATCCACGCGGCCCATGTGTGCTGCTGTCTGGAGTGCACTCTCGTATCTTCTGCCAAGGGAATTGACATCCATTCCCCGGTCAAGAAGGTAGGTCATGAAGTGGGGCATGTTAGCCTGCACAGCGAAGATGAGTGGTGATTTTGGTAAGAGTGATGAGGACCCAGATGATGCGAGCTTCCACAGATCCTCGAGGAACGGATTTCCAGAGGCCTTGGCGAGCTCTGCATGTACGAACCAGAGCACAGCGTAATTGAGGAAGGGCTGTATGAAACTTATTTCTTCCGGAATGCGGGCATACGGGACATCATCGATGGATATCGACTGAAGTTCAGGCCAGCACAGATACGCCGTGCAGATAGTTGCCATGCGTAAGTGGGCATCGGACACGGTAAAGTGAAACTGCTGAGGGAATTTAGAGTTATGGCAAAACTCCTTCGCGGATTGGTGGATGAACTGAACGGTGTTTGATTGCACCTCTATCTCTAGGAGACCGCCGGAACGGCTTTTGATACGCTCCGCGGTTTGGTCAAGCCTTTGGACTTTTCCGGAGGTCTCGAAGCTGTGGGTGGAGGCGAAGGTGTGTTGGCTGAGAGCGATGGCGTAGCGGAATTCGGCGACGGTCAAGGGCCGCTCGGCCAGGGACACCCATGCAAACATGTATCTTGTTTCTAAGCACTGTGGAGCCTTTAACTTCGCGATGAGTCTCTCCAGCATGCGGGCGTAGAGGGACTCAAGTTGGTTCGGAATGGATATCAATATTTGTTTCAGCTCCTCTTCCGAGACCTGGGCGCACTCATGTATCAACTCCTCGAGTACAAGTTTGACCCACAGAAAGACCCCTGACGCGCGCGCCATGAGCTCTGCCTGCACAAAGGTTCTGTTCTCTGTCGGGATAGCCACAATCCGCCCTTCCAAGAAGGTCTCGATATCATCCGCTGTCATGCTTTCGAGAGTGATCTGGATGTAACCCACGTCCAGGATACCCGGAAACAGTTGATGACGGCTGGTAACGAATATTTTGAAGCTTGGGTTAGAACGCGCCGCAGAAAATATCATTGAAAGATATTCCCTAGTCAATGCATCTTCCCCACTCGGCTGTGTGGTGTAATCAAGAGCTACACACTCGTCCAAGGCATCGATAAAGAGATGGAGAGATTTGACCGCCGGATCCTCGATGATCTGAAGGAAAGTATCGAGCAGGACCTTCAACGGCCATTCCCCCTTATTCTCAAGTTTACCTCTAATCTTCCTATATTCGGGAAGTATATAGGTATAGGTTGCAGGAAGCTTCCGGAGAGCCTGGTATAATAGCGCCTGCAGTAACCCTCGGAGGGACTGTGCAAGACTTGCCCCCCGCGCGTTGAAGAAGAATCTTGCTACTATTTTACTAGGCAAAGACTCGGCTTCCTTAGACTTTCTATCGAATAGATACTTGCAGAGAGTTGATTTTCCAGAGCCAGGCTTGCCAATAACCCACAGTATCCCAGGGCTAGCGTCTTGCCAGTTAGTCATTCGATCATCGGTCCAAATCCACTCGAATGTCGAGGCATCAGCATCGGAGACGGCATTCAACCGGTCATCAAGCTCCTTGAAGAATATCGTACTTAAACATTCTATCCAGGTGGTCGTTAGGATACTTTGGGAGAAATATTACGGTAGTAACTGCTTACCTTCCATTTCTTTCGTTACAGTAGCAGCGTGGGCTATATAAAGACGAGCAAGTCAACAATCTACACTTAGGAGGAAAAATCATAAAATGGTATTGGGCCAATAATAAAAGAGTCACAATGGTGTATCATTCAGAACCCTCTACCGACGAACCTTCCTGCACCCTTTCCACCATCTCCTTCACCTCGTTCAGCACCAATTTATAGTTTCCATCCGTCTCCGATTTGAACTTGTTCATCCGCATATGATCACACTCCAGCGATACATTAGTTTTCCCCGGCATACTACTCGCCTTCTTATCAACCGCCTAACTCAACACACTAATCAGCATTCTCGGCCATGCACGCACCAATTTGGAGAAATCCACCCACGAGCAATAGCGGTACCCCCCATTTCTGTGTCTTTCTTGTCTCGCAAAAATTCACAACATGATATTCACTTGTCCCATACCCCTTCAAGAACGCATCATTAAGTACCCACAGCGCCTCCGTCCCCGGTCGTAGTGCCTCCAGGAGCTCAGTACTTGAGCCCAGGCAGTACGTGATGTAGGACACAAACACTCCGGCTTTCGTCAGTCGAGATCCGTCATGGGGGACACCGAGGAACAGGGCGCCGAGAACGGAATCGGAGAGGGATTTGTAGCGGGCTTCAGAGCTTTTTTCACCAGCGGTCACAAGTGCCTGTAGTTGACTTTGTCAGTTTATGATCAGTGAGCATAATATGAGGGGAGAGAATGGAGGTCCAGGATTATATAGCGAGGATTCAGTCCACCTTCTTGATAATGATACCGCCGAAGCTGTGGCCAATAAAGATTATTCTTCTTTTCTTCTCCTATACAGTCGGTCAGCTTTCACTCACGCGCCTTATCTATATGGAACTGCCCCAACCTACCTCATCACTATTCCGGCACGTCCTGACCGCGTCTAACAGTTGATTCGCGCAATCTTGTACAGACTTAACCGGCGCATCAGACCGCCACGCCGAATCATGGTTAAACGTCATAATCCTTACACCCGGAAGCGCATCCGGCAGTAGATCCCGCAGCCACATAACGTTATTCGACACCTCGACGCCACTGCGCCTTTCCCAGTACGTCCATGCCCAGCTGGGGTCCGAGCCAAGCCCATGGACGGCGATGATGCTGAAAGAGTTACATCTGGTTAAACATCCAACCCAACATCAAGATGATAGATGCAACGGAAGGTAACTTACTCTACACCGACATCCTCTGCAGCTTTTGGCTTATAAACCTCAAACATCCCCGTACTTACCTCATTCCTTGGCTTTGACCAGAACACCAGCAGCAACTGGAGCGGTGATAGCGCTAGCCCCGCAAGGAAAATAATCACATATAACATAGAGCCCATGACCCATTCAGTGCGGGATAACTGGTAGTGCATGAGGGCAGAGCCCAGAGTGGCGGTCATAATCAGAATGCAGCCCCATACACGCGGCTGCGAGTCCTGAGAGCGGAGGACACGCTCCAGACCGAGGAGGAGGAGTAGTGTATGAAGGGTGGTAAACATAATCTTGCAGGGGGAGCTATTCGTGGGGATAAATTCACGGTGGATCTGGTTGTGTTGGAGTAGGGGAATGAAAGAGGGGAGCTCGAGGGTATATATCTCGAGAATGAGGTATGGTGCGCCCAGTCTTAAAGGTGACACGAGGGCATATGGAAGTGGTGCCTCACTGCCACGGCTCAGGCAGGTTTGCTTTTTTGGGGGTATAAATGGGTATAATACTGTTCCACTTTGTTCACTTTTGGCGCTTTTTACATACAAAAACAGCCAATTTCAATCTCTTATAACTTCATGACCATGATAGATATCAGAAATCTGTCAGGTCATTTTGTTCCTCCTCATTGTTTCTAGCATTTGTTCTGACAGACTTTTGATATCTTTTGTGGTGGTAAAGTTATAAGCGATTGAAATTTAGTTACCTTTAAGATCGGGGGCACCATATCACCTAGGTATTCCACTATCCGTGGTTTTAGTGAGTACGTAATGATCTCAAAACCCCGCTCAGGCACTTCGACCTATAGGAGAACACTCTCTCCGATTGTAAAGGCAAGGGAAGCATGCAGAGCTACATATGGTACTCGCAGCAGGTAACAAGTACCCGAAAATGCACGTCCTAATCTGCAATTTCCATTGGAGTAGAAGTCAAAAATACACCAAAAACTTGCAGCTGCATATTCGGGTACTTCATGCCAGTCGCGAGTACACATTCCTGGTTCGTATTTTTTACTTGATCAACCAGCTCTGCCGCAGCGCCGCGATCGGCACAATCATTCCTGGTACATATGTACTCTCCTCGTGTCCAACGTACTGATCCACCAGGTTTTAGCAAAATTATATGTATCTTTGTGCTCCGATGCAGTGTCAATGAGGCGAAACGACCGGGTGGTATGTGCTTACCAATGATTCGATAGGACTTGATATCACATCGACTCATCTGCATGTAACATGCGAGGGTTAGGTTTCTTTATGCAGTTATTTCCCCTCGAGCTCGATTTGGCCCAATACCTTCACCCCACACGTGGTTGGTGTTTACAGGATCCTACCCCCGCGCACACATTGGGCGTACAACCTTTCAACGCCAGCGAAATTGATGGGAATAGGACTAAAACAAACCCCCCAACTTTAAACAACGGAGTTAGTCGGCCAGTCTAGAATCTAAAACGTAACTACAAATGAACTTTTTAGGAAATTACATTCAAACGCCCCTAAGCGGCACCTACACCAAAGTTTATTTACTTCAATCCCAATTCCAAAGTTTTGTCCACTTGATACGATACTACTCAACTATCCTACTTCCAAAAGTGTCCCAGTATCATCTGTACTTGTTGCGGTAGGAATATTGTTGTAAGGAGTGGTTGCTGGGCAAGCGGAAATGATTGGCACAACCAGATTTTACGCAGCACTATACGCATCTCATGATCAACATTCGAGATAATCACAAGGCGTCTGTACAGCACTGAGACAAGTCGTATACCTTAGTCCCAAGCCTTTCGGTTCCCCTGATTCAGGCTGGCTTATAACTCCACCTCCCTTCGGGATATCAACGTACAAGTCGTCTACAGAGTATTTAGTGGGCAGTGCCTCTTGGTATTCTCAACATTTTTTCGGCGGTGTAAAGGGGTTGGTTCGCTTTTTCATGAAGGATGAGCGACACAATTATATGATGAAGCATAAGCGACAGGCTGACATACTAGTATCTAAATTTAAAGCCAAGACCAGGCACCAGTACCCGCGCACACAAACCCTGAATTATTAGAGTACGTCTTACTAGCGGTAGGCCACCTCGCGACCGCGAGTTGCGGGTTCGTTTGGAGAGGTAAGTGCTTCGGTCTGCCACGTACAAAGTTTTGGGGGACGGGGGATTCACCTCCTCCCAGCCAATCCACTCTCTTTCTTGATATTCAATTTTCCAATAGTTCTTCAATCTGCCCCAGTTTTTTTTGGGAGCGGGAGACCTTCGGCCCCCGCTCCCCGGGGGGGGTGGTTCACATCCTCCTAGTCAGTTCACCCTTTCTTGATATACTCAATAATGTTGCGCCAGCTGCTCAGGATGGGTCGTGCTTAGTCAACACACACCTAACCCTCAAAGTGTCTCGAACAGTGTCTCAAATAGCGCAAACCGGCCAACCAAACCGCGTCTAAATGTTTTACGTGTTTTTGAGACATAGAGTATTGCAGTACATATTAGAATATTAGAATTAGAAATCAGTGCACCCAGTTCTTGCGAAAGGAAATTAATGCAGCCAAGCCTGTGCCTGCCATTGCAGCTGACATGTCACTTTATCACGTAGTGTAGAATCTTCAGTCCTCAAGTATTTTTCGGCATACAGCTAAGTAGAGTACAAGGTCTTCCTCTATGATACCTTCGTCAATAGCTTCATGTATCTCGTTCCCTCCAAGCTACACTTTTTTGTTTTAAGCTTCACCTTTTTGTTCCAAACTACATCCTTCTGCTCCCAACTATTCTAAAGTTCAAAGCCACTATAGCTCTTATTGCACTCACCCAACCTCGCTCTATTCAATTGAATATGTCCAAATCCAAGAAATTCAAGGATTCCATTATGACGTTCGATTCGGCGCAGCCACAGGTGGCTAGTAAGCATCGTTAGAAGAATAGAACTCCGGACCAATGGAAGAAATTCGCGCTTGAGAGAACATTAGCACCAACACCAAAAGCTGATTCAACCATGAAAAAGGAGATGGAAGGCTTATTTTTTTGGGCGCTAAGGTATTGATAGAAGACAGGTGACCGCCCTTTTGGAACCTTAAAGCTCACTCTCTCCAAACGTATGACCAATTGGGGATTTACCGTTCTTCGAAACAGGTGCAGGTCTCCATAGCTCATCTCGAAGGCGCTCTTCACGGGGATGTGAATATAGCGGACGTTCCTCGTCCATATAGCGGCTCCATTAATAACTAAATGCCCCATTCACTCGTTTCTCTTCCTTTTGCTCGCTTCGCTCGTAAATATTTCTTTGCAACTTTCGGGCTGCGCACCCCCCCCCCCCCCCCCCCCCGCTCATTAACAAATAATATAAACTTCAATGAAAATACTAAATCGTAAACAGCTGTACCTTCGGAATAAAAACATTCTTCTATTCGCTATAGTATGTACATAATTAAGCCATCTATTTGCAAGCAGCAAAACCCCTCTATTTTCCATGATCTCCTTATAATATGATGCACCTACACCAAATAAAAAAACACAAAACGCCATGACCATATGTACCAGCAAGAATTAGCCCACAGTGAACTCCCGAACAGGCGAAAACTATGTCAAGTTTCATCAGTTACATTCTTTAGTTAGGGATTTGGCATCACTCGCCAACGACTGAGGACCTCTTCAGCTTTTATGATTCCTTGTTAACGCAACCCCACCTCCTCCCCCCCCCCAAACCCAAAAAAGCACAGCCCCCTTCGACAGGGCGAGTCCTCGAATGTTCCTCCTTGTAGATACCCCACCCCCCTTCCAATAGGAAGGTACCCAGGATAAAGAAGAGTAAACGATCAAACCCTTGGTCCATTTTCCTCCCCAAATCCTTAATATCTGACCTCAATTCGGCTACGTGAATCTTGAGGACTGTGATATTCCAATAAGCCATTAACATTATGAATGAGTTATCTCCAACTATCAAGTGCTCACTTTATCAAGTTGATGGAATGCGTCCCGTGCAACATATCCTGATGCAGAAGATGCCTTCCTAGGACCCTCAAGATTGGATGAGTTATGGCCGTCATCATTTAAGTTTCTCTGAACCACTCGGCTTGCATGAGCAACACGAACAAGTACCGTGAGACTTAAGACCTACCTGGCTCGTGGTAAAAGCACTTCTTGCCAGTGGACCACAAAAGCCCTGAAGCTGGCGGCAAACGACAAATCGACGAACGATGTTCAGGCTGGACATTCTGTGGTGGTTGCTGTAGTTGTAGGAACAGTAAAGAGAGTAAAAAATTAAGTGCGTGATTATTCAAGGAAAGCTAACCTTTATCGTATGACGTCGTGAAGCGAAGCTGAACGGAAACGTTGTTGTAACGGAGATGGAGAAAAAGACCCAAGCTGTTACGGGACGCTAGTCCAGATAGCCAACCCACCAAGTCCCCAACCACGCCGCCGCCAAAACCGTCCCCGCCTCGGTCACGAACGACCAAAACCAAAAAGCAAAATGAAGAGGATGAGTTCGGTACCCAGGATTCCCACATGGTCACCCACTGCAGTACTAACTAGGCGATATCGTTCTATGACCGAACACGTTGAACAAGCTATTTTCTAGCGTTTTATCCCCGACTTTATTTGTTTGTGGTGTTGTGGATGGTTGACGTTTTTGCGCGCGGTGAAGTATTGGGTTAGGGTTCGCGCGCTTATTACAACGGGCGCGGGCATCAATATGATCATGAAGCCACACATAAAAACGATCATCACTCTCACCTGGCACCAACACAGGCAGGTCGTGCACCAGGAGAAAGAGCACTCCACCGACCGGCACTCATGTGGTTCTCAGGACACTGCACTCTATTTTCGCTGCGAAGCCAATTCCTAACAGCGCGCTGCATCTCCAGCCTTAATTAAGCTTCCAACCACTACCACTCGAGCCACTCGCCATGGCCACGCTATCTTCACCTCACCCTCCGGTAGCTAGAACCCAGAGCCTCTACAATCCAATCCAATCCACACGCTACCCTATCTATATTTACATACCTACGCAACCCACCTCCAGCTCTGCATCCCCCCGGCCTCCACCGACCTAAACACAAGGCCATTATGCACCACCCCTTCATCTCCAACCCAAGCCTCACCGAACGATCACCAGGCTATTGTCACACTCAGCGCTGGTCAATCGATAGAATAGCATTGTCTCCCACCTCAGGAAAACATTGCATTGTCCCCCGGTGATGGCGTCACACTCACCGACGGCACCCCTGTCTATTCCCAGTCGTCACAGACTCTCACTCGGGCTTGGCGTGGCGATCACTCCCGCCGGTGGGCTGCGCTGGTAGTACTAGTGAGTGTTCAGATGCTAGATATAAAAGCGCCCACACGCCATTGACGAGAGTGTGTTTAGTCTTCAGCATCTGCTCGATAAAACACCATATCCATAACTACAACTTCAATACACATACCTAATACACACCACAAAACTCCCCCACAATGTCCACCACGTGCACAGACTCCCCCACCACCTACACCCCCATCCCGCTCACGCCCGAGCTCGCCCCGCTGATGGGCCACGGCAGCCCCGACGCCTCCACGGAGGAGCCAAAAAAGAAGATCGCTAAGCTACTCGACACGCCCGCGCACGTGCTGCTGATGCTCAAGAGCTGGCTCGGATTCTCGCAGGTCGAGCGGTGGCAGATCGAGGAGGAGGAGGCGCGGATCATGTTGCTGGGTGAGGAGGAGGAGGAGGACGAGGATGAGGGGATCGATATGGGAGAGGAGTCGGGGGGCGAGTCGGGGAGTGGGGAGAGTGATGGCGAGGTGGAGTTTTAAAGGTTAGAGGGTTACATTAGGTATACTGTGCCTGTGATAGTGATTTTGATTTTGATTTTTCTGCTGGTGAGATGGACGCTGATGTGGTGGTGTTGTAGAGGGCTTTTTATGATGTTATGAAGTGGGTGGAGGGGCTGCGTGCGGCAGGACCGCGGGGAGGGAGTTTCGGCTGTATATATTTTGCAAGCTTTCTTTAATCTTATCAATGGGTCAATTTATGACCTATCACACGCTCTCTAGTATGACGTCGCACTGATAACTTGTGCAAGCTCGCACAAGCGCTCGATTGTAACGGGACGTCATCATAGTCCGTCCAACTGTGTGACCAAGCTAAGACTCCCGAAATCCACTTCATTCACAGGCATTCAAAAAAATACAGCTAGCATTAACACTAGTGAACAACGGGGGCTTCCTACCTTCCTTCCTCTTCCATTTCATCTCCCTTTCCCATCACGCGTCTCCCTCTTCATCAACAGACACCCCCACATCGCCCGCTAAAACCCCAAATCCATCGCGAGATTTCAACCTCATCAGCATATAATCGCAAAGCTTCATCACGGTATCAAACCCGCTCTCAGAAACTCACAAGTCTAGCCCAACTGACGTCAGCAGATTCCCGAAAAACATGACACAAATTCGACGCCACGGGCGTGCTGAGCCTGTTGTCCACTCCGTCAAGCTCCGCATCGAAATCTGCGAAATCACCACCCAGCGCTACGAAGATCGTCTCGTGATGCTTGATGAGGATGAAGCCTACATCAACTCGCTGATGAGCCAACTGGATGAATACGATGTGTCCAGTGACCAGTATTACCAATTTATGAGCCAGCTCATCATCGTCTGGGCGGAGATGGAGGATCTGAAGGCGAAGATTAAGGTCTCGAAGGAGGAGTTGGCGAAGTTGATGTTGACGGAGTTGTTGGGTGATGTCTAGAGCGGCGGGTAGGGGATGGAAAATTGGGTGCTTGTGCGCGAGAACCGAGAAGAGAGTGCATGATTTTTTCCGCAGAAACGTTTGTTCCAGCTAATGCCGGTTTGTGGCTTCTAGCTTGCGATGAGTGGGCGATATTGAGTTCAAGACGGCGGTAATACTTAGGGGACGCATTAATAATAATAGAAAACCATGTGCATCCTCACTTCGTTTGACCTTCGTGCCATGTAAACTGATATGCGGAGTTGTCGGTTTATAGAAACCTTCTGTTCAGAGATAGCGGTCTATCCAGGCAACACTTACCATTAGATTGGTCAACCTGCTCATGTTTTCAGCTTGTAAGACCTTACCGGAACACGCATTGGACATCATAAGCCCTGAATTTTTCAGCCGTAAGATATAACCCGCTGCCATCTCAACTATCTCAACCCCGCTGTGAAGGACCCATCTCTATAGATCTATCTCATACAATTCTTCTTTGAGAGGATAATAGAAACCCATTTTTCCATTCCGGAAGTTCACAGCCAATCAGATATAAACGAACTCCCGCTTTGCCGGCGGATGTCGCTGTATCAACCCCAACTATCCGAACCGAGAGTTGGCATACAAGTATAGCCCATGAGGACGCTCTAGCCGGTGAAGTTTGAGAATACTCTCGAGCTGCCTCGTGCTCTTTACATTTGTGCTTGTCTGTCCTCGAAGTCTGATACTGCTGTCCTCGAGGACGATAAAAGATGATTCCGGGAGAAAAGAGAGCGTTATTTCTTTGAGGTAGGAGGCGTATTCTCTCATGACTTCAGGCATATTAAGTGTGTATAGGTAAGAACTGTATATACCCTTGGGGGGTCCTTGAGGTAAGGAGTATCCTCGAGGTAAGGGTAGAACAATACTCGTCCTCGTGGACTACAACACGGTAGCCTTACTAGCTGCTGGAGTAGAAAAGAACAAACAACGTTAACGTCCATCCTCTCCCGCCACGTCACCTTATATGAAGAAGACCACATCACATCAACCCTCTACCGTCACTCAGGACACTCCCGACAGTCTAGTCGAGTGTCCAGCAGCGGTGATATCCAGGCTAAGTTCGATCCTTTCCCATATATTCGGACGAAAAGTACAACAACTCCATGAGATCTTGAGATCGAAAGCCGCCAAGCTCGACAAATACGATACATAAACGGCGAGAATCGGACAAGACTCAAATTTTCGGCGGTTTAACTGACGCCTTGACGAGACCTGATGTAGGTAAACCTGTCTCTGGACTGTCCCAAATTTTGAAAATTAGTACCCCAGAATTGAGAAGGGTACCCCGGATGAGCTCAAATTCCTAGAGTGCGGTCACCGCTAACCTATTACAATTCAGGTGGCCTTCTCTTATTAGCAAAACAATGTCCTACACCACCCAAGGCGGCGGCCGGCGGCGGCGTCATCCTTATTCCACGACCACCGAAGAATCCGAAGCCCAACACAACCCTCGCGCACAACAAGATACAACAAGCCGGGACCGTAGTAGCATCCACCAAAATCTCATTTTTGCGCACGAGACATCAAAACACACCCCACTCAAAACAATCACCCAAGCACCCCATTACACCCAACACAGAAGTTGGATAACGGAACAAAAGTACGACATCGGCAGGATTTGAACCTACGCTCGCGAACGAAACAGATTTCTAATCTGTCGCCTTAACCACTCGGCCACGATGTCATGCTAAAATGATCCTAGTTTGTCATCCTTGAGCCTTGGCCTCGGCCCCACACACTAGGGCCAAAAAGCTTCGAAGTTTGAAAATATAGCGTTCTTGTTAGTTATGCCTTCGGGGTGTTGGTGGGAGTTGGTGGGAGTTGGTGTGTTGTATACTAGGTCTTTGTGGGGTGGAGGCTTGACTGATGTATTATTTTTGTCTCAGGTGGGTCGAGTGATATTTTATGATTAAGATATAAAATACGTTACACCCTCTTGAATGGAAAGACAAAGTATCCACTACGCCATGTTATACTCATATAACTCAAGTAGACCGGCGTTAATTCCGGTGCTCAAACTGCTTAAGCTTTCATATTCGCTCTGCACTGTGATCTCCCCCCCCCCCTTGCCTACGTTCCAGCTCATGCTCCTGTGGTGTTGATATCGATGTGGCCCAACGATAGCAAATAGGCCCCAGAAACATGTGCGTAGTGCATTGTATCTCGAGTATTACAAAAGTGTAACATCACCGCTCCTGTATTTCCACTAATCTTTAACTAGGCCCGTAGATAAAACACTATTTATCCTACGACCAACCCCGCCCGGATCCGACATAAACCAACCACGCATCTCTAGAGTATTAGAAAGTCGCTAATACAAATATTCTATACCTTCTGACCATCAGGGGGGCATAAAGAGTTATATTGACGTTGTCTTAGCGCATGACAAACCATGAAGCAGGTCGAGTGATATTTTGTGACTAAGGTGATTGACCGTCCACCCTCACCCACCCCCGGGAGGCGAACGCACCGTTGAGAAGCGAGCCTAGCACATTTGCAAGAGATTTTAATTCCTAGGAATTGGGTATTAGGTCCGGCTTATAGTTTTGGTTCTAATTAATATTTGAAGAGTTAGGCCTAGGAGAGCTATAGTTATATATACGGAGATCGAAGAAAGGTCACTATCTTTAATTCCGATCATTACCACGACCCTCTTCTATCACCCCCAACAATACCATAAAGTGTTGAGCTTTTGAGCGTCTATGTCACAGACTTGAGAGTTGATTGCATGCATCCATCTCCCGCGGGGCCTCTTTAAATCCGAGGAAAGCCGACAAAACCGCGTTACAGAACCACCGTTACTCTACCCTCACAATCAACACTTAATACGTTATTTGCTATCACCTAGCCCGAACCCCACCCGATTACCGCCTCCAATAAATCGGACACCTGGTAAATTTCCCGGAGAACATTTGCAAACCGAGTGATACTTTATGATTGAGCTTCTTATCCTTCATGCTGGTGAGAACTGCTCAGGTGTATATGAACCTATAGATAACATACTCCGACGAATAATCTAGGTAAATCATACTGTATATATGCGTGTTAAGAGTCTGGGAACGGATCAAAATTGAAGATATCATAGAGGTAAATCAAACCTGCATGTATTCTTTATAGTATCCCACAGCCCGCCGAGTCATACCGACCCTTGTTTTGTAGGGGCGGAAAAAGTGGCCGGTGCTAATAAATCCTTATCGGTTATCGATCTTTCGCTCGGATTCTCCGTGGCTTCCGAAAGGGTGCAGGTTTACCTAACGGACCATGGGATAACGCCGATGGATTTATTTCTATGTTGGAATATCTTGTGGACTTGCTCATTAAACGCCCAGCTTCGTAGATACAAGGTCCCATGTCCTACCTAATAAGAAACTCACTATATGTGCACAGCCACAATAGCGGCTCTTTTCCACGTCCACATAGTTCTAGCCGAGCATAGATTAGATAATCCTATTGTGGTTGGCGCTACGAGTTAGAGTGCAAAAGATGAGAGTATACACTGTTTTGTTCATCCCCGAAACGTACCCTAATACTACCTCCGGTATCAGCTACAATGCCGGCCGGCCGGAAATGCTGGTGAAAGTAATTAATTGCGGAAGAATTCATCAGCATGCTAGTACTTGGCTATATATAGCATGCGCAGCATACAAGCTTAATCCGAAATTCTCATACAATGCCCCAACACTAGCCATACGAATTAAGTCCCATTTCTCTATATTATAGTTGGCTAGTCTTTTCATTTGATCTGCGATTGTATATCATGGTGAGCTACGAAGAGAACCGGATCCAGTAGACAACGTTGCAATCTAGATAACACAGCCACAGCGACCCACCTTCACACCATGCACAGGAAGGGTCCCATTGCGACACACCCCTGGCTTACGATATATCCGGAAACAAATCTTAAAGGGCCAATCTACTTTCCAACCCGCAGCAGCACACCACCAAACATCAAAAAAGCGCCAAAAACGAGTGATACTCCATGATCCCCTGCTCCCACTTCACTCCAGCGACAACATCCACCACTATCAGAGTTTCCCAACCCGCGGGGGGAAGGTTTCGAGAGTTTTTTTTTTTCACGTGCACACCTCACCCGCGCCCATTGGCTGCGCGCGATAAGCCCCCTCGCCTCTATCAATCTGCACGCTAGCTATCTCTACATTCTGTATCTTCACGAACATTAACCGGCGCGGCACATGTCAGAAAGAAACAACATCACCAAACTCCAGACGAAAACGCCATCATATCGTTCATGCACCTCGACATGAACTACCCCTCGGAAAGCCACCATGTGACAAAGCTTGGATACGACAGTCCAGATCGCAACCTCTTCACTGGGCCGCACGAAAACGGTCGCCCCCCCCTCCTCCACAAAAAAACAACTCCTCTATCTCACAGCACAAAAAAAAGTAACTTCCTAATCGACTGTATGACCTGCATTAAATCTAACTGGGTATATCTCCTCTACATTAACTCCCACCCACACCCCGCCAAGCTACTCCGTCCCACACTCAACACCAACACCAACACTGACACCACCACCCCTAACCCTTGTGCAACCTATACCCTGAAGATGATCTTCCGGATCAACTTTCCCGGCCAACAACTTTATTTTACCCTGAAACAGAGCTTGTTCCCCGGGTGGCAGATGTCAGTAGAGTACCAACCTGAGCTGGACCCTGGTTGGAAGCGGACCCGAGTAGTTGGGTTGGGTTGGGGGAGGGTTCGCGGAGGGCCAGGGTTCGGAGATATGCAGGTGTCGGATCATGTGTGGAACAGCCGAGTGGGTGCCGAGAGTTCCCTTTTTTTTCGGTGCTGGGGGTATGTTGATATTGGGAAGTGGTGGATTGGGGGGAGAGGGGATGTACATAGTAGCCAGGGTAGGTAGGTAGCTCTGGGAGCTTATGTCTCGGACGCCGAGCTCTGGAATACTGCGTGCGCCGCTATTGGCCGGTGCGTTATATGTAGTAGATAGTAGAGATGGTAGCTATCTAGCTAGCGAGCTGACTCCTACCAATTGACGCGCCCACGTAGAGTACTGGAGTAACAGTACCTCCAGGCCCATTAAAGATTGGACGGCCGGCTTACTCTGTACCTATACCCAACTCTAGACCGTCGATATGTAATTACAGCCCGGGGTCAATGTAGAGCAGGACAAAGTAATATTCTCCCTCAAAACCCTGATATCCATAAGTACTGGGCTCGAGCGTGTATACCAACCCGTAAGTAAGACCGCCCCCGAGGGTAGAGTAGGGTTAAAGTGCAGTTCGAAAGAGGACAGAGTAAGCTTTGTTGAGCAAAATACTTGCAGGAGTACCTAGGAGTAGCTGGCTAGCCTATCGATCCGGCACGATCCGGCATCTAAGACAGCATCTGCATCGTGGGGCTGGGGCCGGTATTGGAGCTGGAGACGGTGGAAGGGATGAGACTCGCAGGCGCAATGAGTGTCTTGGGCGAGGCTAGAATGTCTGTGGAAGCTTAGTAGTGTAGCATACGTAGGTAGGTTGAAATTGGAATAGTGTAGGATGTTGAGATGGGAATAGTGTTCAAGTAGGTCGAGATGAGAATAGTAGGGAAATATTCTTGATAGGTAGAGGTTCAATGTTCGGAAAGTCAGTCAATAGTAGTGAGTAGAGTAGTAGCGTGCAATCAAGTGATTTACTCAGATCAGACGCAAAAGTAGTGAAAGGCAGAATTCCACTCGACGAGCAGCAGAGAAGACATGAAGCCATTATCACAGAACCAGACAACGCGAGTAAAATACATTCCCCACAGAATCTCGCACTCTATACTGAACAGATCCAAACACCACCGGTGACTCACACTAACATCAAGACGCTGGTCCTAAAGCTCTGCCTTCCACTCCGGAACGACCCGCTCATACCCGCAACTTCAATTTCACTCACTGACTTCATGACTGCCGTTCAGGCTTCACAATGCATTACCGGCACGGTAGTTTCAGAGCTTGTAAAACATCTATCGATTAACCGCGACTCTAAGCTAAGTCCATAACCCGAGGTTATCGTTTTTGATATTGCCCAGCCGCGCAGGGAGACCATCATGCATAACCAGCAGTAACAGAACGATGGCCATGACTCATACCCGTCCCCAAACCTCTGGAGTAAAGCAAGTAGGAGAGACCAAGCTAAGCTAGCGGGACTACCGCCCCATTACCCGCAAAAGAAAAAAAAACGTGCCTCCATATCTCCGGTAGCTGCAACACGTGAAAAGTAGATCTCTTGGCAGATCTCGGGAGCCATCTCGTCTCGGGAGTTTCTCGGTAACTGGGTAAGTAAGAATATGAGTCAAGGCCCATGTGGAGTTTAGGTATGTATGTGGAGTAGGTAGGGCAGAATAGGGTCTGGTCCTTGAATTCTTTCGTTGCTTGCTCCTCGGCCCGCGGTGTGGAGTGGATATGGATGGAGGCTTTTTTTTTATTTTTATTTTTTATTAGATTGATCTCATGCTAGATTTCCCCCGCAAAACTTTGTTTCCTCGGGTGTTCGGCGGGGTGAGGTTGATAGCTCCCTAGTAAAGTGGAATAGGGTATGCCATGCATGCAATTCCAACAGCATCTTCTTCTGCCTCCAGAGCGCATACCCGGTGCGGTGCACTGGTACACTTA